TAGATTCCCTGCACACATGACACAGTCACCCTATGCATGCATTGTAAGGACAGTGCATCAGCCTCAGCCTTGCTGTCCCTGGGCAGATCAAACCTTTCCTATGTACCCAAATCCTACACGTCTGTGATTGATCTGTTGAGCACGAAGAAAATACAGCTGCTGTGAAAACAAGGGAAATTCTGGGTCATACCAGTCATCTGGAAACCCTAGTACTAGCTGATGGGTTTTGAGATGGCACTGCTCCCATTCATGTAGCATAAGGGACTCAGGGACCCTTCAAAGTAAGGCAACAGTGAACAAATCAGATGAAGCTTGTGAAGACAAACACCCTTCGGAAATGTGATTTCAGCCCTAAAACATTAAAAATTTTGGAAGAGAGTAAATAAAATACAAAGATGCAAAATAGAAACTATTAAGAACTCAGCACAGCCTGTCTCTCACCTAGGCCAAAGTGCTGTTTTACCTGCCTCCCTCCCCACTGTGCTCCCCCACTGCATGTGCAGGTGCCCTGCCATGGCTGAGGCTCACTAAAAACTTAACCCTGAGCAGTCCTGCCATGAAGGACTCCACCGGCAAGCAAGCAGGACTAGGACCCTCTCACTGGACAAACAGTCCAGTGTCTTCCTTAAGGTGTCCCACAGCCTTGCTCTCCCCTACCCTGCCTTGACCTCCCAGGCGACGCTTAACCAGGATGTGATAATGAGCGGGTCAGTGCACATTTTTATTCATCCCTACTCCCTGTTACCTTTTACCACTACTGCTATCACTTTCCTACTCTGCTCACTGGGAAAGCCTGTGTCATACCCCAGTCTCCAAGGTTAACAAAAATAATGCAGTGTGGTGTACCACCCTTTTGCAGGAGATGTCCCTAACCTGCACATAAGTATATAAGAACATAAGTATTTAGTCTGTCCTAATATGAGCATGTAATTTATAAGTGAGGTAATATTTGACAAGTCCTTAAGAATGATTATATTTGATCAGAGTGAAGCAGACTAAAAAGACAAATTCTCCAGTTTAAGGGAACACCAGGAAAGGAGCTAAAAGCTAGGAACAGTAAAACGGGTAAAAGAGCAACTATCCTTCTATGTTGGATTTGTGAACTCTACCTAACACTTTGCCCCAGAAAACTGGTAACAAATTCTTTGTATGAATATTTTGGTGTAGCATGTGTTTACAGACATGGCTTCCAGAACCTTTTTTTTTTTTTTACAGCAATTTGCAATGCAATATGAAAGTACAGTGGCCCGAAGTACAGGGAACATCCTGCATACTCTATATACAAAAAAAGACTCTGTATACAGATCAAAGCATTTCTTTCAGTTTGAGGAATGCTACTCATCTCGCAGCCAGGGACCTCATGGGAAGGAACACTGTGCAGAAACAGTATCCTGAAGGTCAGGCAGAGCAGGTGAATGTACTGATACGCATCAATACATTAATACTGAATGTACTGAGAGACTAAGGCAACAGTAAACTGGAACTGCAAAGAAACACCAGACTGAAAGAGACCTCCTCATATATGTATTACATATTAATTACATATTAACCACACAAAGCTGAATTAGTACGAAAAGTAGACATAACAACACCACTCACTTAGAAGAAAGATCTCTGGTTAAAAAGGATGCTTTTTGAGCCAAATCCTCCATTAATTTTAAGTCATCTTCATCCATCATGTCCAGTGGAAGAGCATCTTCTTCCTCCTCTTCTTCCCGTTTTTCAGCTATTTTAGAAGATGATGTGTACAGATTAAGATCCTGTACATATATTCAAACTTGAAAACCTAACCCTGCCTACACCTGTGAGACCATTTTACACCTTACTTCAACCTTGGGCTTATCAACCTTCATGCATGTCTTTTGTGTTATCCCAGAAAACAGCCCCTTCATTGTGACATCCAATAATGATTCGAGCAAACACATTTCTACCATCTCCAACCATCAGATCTTGTTTCCAGAATGGTTACATTTTATGTTTTTCATAAGTCTCCCTTTCTTTCCTTTAAACAAGAACAGCAATTATTTGTACACAGAAAATGAAATGTTGTTTTCCTGATACATATGCAGCAGGATATTTAGTAGTCCTCATACCTTTTTGCTTACAAAAAAACCTCTGAGCAAACACTTACCAACTGTTTTTTTCTTGCATTCTTCCAATGGAAAAGGTTTTCTAGAGATAGCATCTCTGACAGCCTCCCTTAGCTTCTTCTGTTCTTTTCGATACTTCTTAGCAGCACTTTGCTGCTTGTACTGTTTATTCTTTAATTTGTTGTCAAGTTTTATTTTACTAGTTCTCAGTAACTTGCGAAAGCTTGGAACTCGTTTTGTGTTTTTTCTCTAGGAAACAAACAGAAAACTAAAAGTAACTGACATGTTCATAGCCTTTGTGAAATTTATTTCACTGTTTCAGATCTCATTAAGTTCATATTCTACCAGGGCTGAAGGTGTTTCTTCCAAATGGTATCATCAGTTAGCTCCAACCCAACTGCGTTAAATTTTTGAGAAGACCTGCGAAGAATGTTTTACAGAAATGTTCTTTGACAATTTTTTTTTAATAAACCCTATGTCCATCACTTTTAGACACATGAAGACTCCAAGTATGGTAAACAGATTGTGAGGGCACAGTTCCTTGCCCTGTGCGCTCCTAAGCACTCTGTCTCCGCTCTTCACAATGCCGATCTTCCCCAGCACACGATAAGGTTAGGAGGGTCTGGTACAAGGCCACAGCCTCAGGCAAATGTGCTCCTGCAGCACGCTTCCCCATGCTGAGCTTCGGCTCTCTCCTGCCCCAAACTCTCCATGACTGGTAGCTGCATGGAAGAGACAAGGCTGCCCGCTGCAAGGCTCAGAACAGCACAATGCATAAGCTGTGTACGGGCTACAGGTGCCAAAGCTCAGGGAGCCACAGTGGTCACAGCAAAGAGGGCTCAGGGAAAGCCCAGAGGTGCAGATCAATGCAGGCACCCTGTGCCAAAGCCGCAAAACACTCCCAGGAGCGTTCAGGATGGAAACGGACGCAGCATGGCTTACCTACTGAGGGGCATGGGAAGGCAAGGGCTGCGGAGGGAACATGGGCCATTGTATTAGTCCCGGTGGCGGTGGTGGGTGTCCCTTCGGTAAGGGAACAGGCGGCTGGACCAGTGTGGGGCTCCTCGAATCTGGAATTTTTGCCAGTTCACCTTTATCTTCCTTTTTTAGATCTGACTACTGGGAAAGCGCTGAAGAGGCAGAAGCAGCGCTGAGGCTCGTCCCTGTGCCACGCAGGCCGCACCGTGAGCTGCAACAGCCGCAGGCAGCGACGCCGCGGCCCAGAAGCCGCCTCGGCCTCTGCCGGCCCCCTCCGGTGCCACCTCGCAGCCCGGGCGCCTGCCAGCAGGGCCCGCTGCAGACAGCCCTGCCCTCTGGCAAAGCTCCGACGCCACGCTCCTCAGGGTAACGAACAACGGTGACCCGGTTCTTGTTCCGCGCCTCAGCTTTGGCAAAACCACCTTCGAGAGGCGACAGACGGAGGTGGAGGTGTGTCTTGCCGGGGAGCCGCCGCTGAAGGGCGGGGTGGTGCCCGCCCCCCGCACGCCGCGGTTTTCC